TGTTCTGTACATTCTTCAATAGATAAGCGTACAATGGCTGGGCATGGTAATGTGTTGACGACGACCTGAGCCTAGAAATTATTGGATTTTGCAAGATAACTAAAATATAATAAATGACTTACGAACCTGCTGATAGCTGGTTAATCTGTCACGACTACGAAAAAGTCCGCAATGATCAGTTTCCGTTTCCTCTTCGAATTCATGCGCAGGCCAGATATTGCATATTCGAATGATGTTCAAACATGACAGAATAGCACTCATAGCAGAGCAATTTGTGACATTCAATTCGACTGTAAAAAATAACACCTTGACAAGTATAATTGAACGAAGATTGACAAATAAATTTCTATATGAAAAAACATTCAATATCGAGTCGACATCCAAACGCACACTTTCAATAGTATTTTCGATGAGTGACATATATTCAACAAACCAAACTAGTGGTGTTTTATATGGAAGGCTACAATGACGAGTCGATGCAAAGACGAGCGAATTGAATCGCCAGTTAAGTCCATAAAATGTTCTGACAAGATCATGTAAAGTCAAATGAGAAAAAATAACGATTAACAGTTCGTTTGGTAGTGTTTCAAGAGAACTATTCAATAATGATATAAATATTTTTCAAACAAGAATAAAAATTTTTATCATCACTTCTACCTTGGTAATTGTTTAACATCAATCTGTTGTTGATCAGTAAGCAAAGATTCGATGAAGAACTGAGATTGTTTCTTGAAAACATTTTTTTGTATAGTTTTGACATATGTTGACTGATTCTTTGTTGTGGAAACTTGGTGAGTTTGATTGTTCTGATCTGCATGATCTATTTTGAGACGTTTATTTGTTAAATCATGTTCATCTATTAAAATACGATAAAGAGAACACATACAAATCTGATAATTGGTTGAAAACAATACCTAATGAACTTCTCGACTGTTTATTCGGACTAGTCGTTTGATTTTCAGCTGAATTCATTGTATCTAATTCTGAAACAGAAATTCGATATGTAAATCTTATTCAAACAAATAAGTAGACAAAATCATCAATAAGCTTTTTCAGAATCTAAAGTAAAATAAATACTTATTATGAGAGGTATGTTCAGATTTCCAAAAAAGGAAATTATCCAAATTTCTGAAATTTCCATCAGCTCGATAACTATATAGCAGTGCAAATCAAAAGTTCTTAGGCATATTGGAAATTTCAGAAATTTCGGAAATTACATCATTTTAGGAAGTAACGTGCAATTCAGAACACAAATCCTTGAAAGTTCCGAAATTTCCTTTTTCGGAAGTCTGAACACTGCTGAAAATATCATCAAAGTAGTTTTACGAATACGAACATAGACGCCGACTTATTTGGAAGAAAATACTATGTGTGTATGTTGAAGCACATTTTTCTTTCTTTCTTCGTTAAATACTTTTTTTCCCGCCTACACAAAAGGAAGAGAATGCATATGAGTCATGTAGTAAGTTGGAAAAAATATATGACATACGTAAAAAATAAACGTAAGTTATATTCACAAAGAAACGCTGTGGGTGTGGATGTGGAAGTGGGTGAACATCAACAAGTTAGCTACATTCACAACTCTACTTTATACATCTTTAATTCGCTGTATATTTGTTTTATTGCAAGATATTGTACTTGGTCGTTGATCTTTAAAACAAATATCTTTTTCACATTCAGCATTTAAAAACTCATCTTTAATAAAAAAAAA